TTAAATTTATATTTTTAAATATTTTTTTAATTTTAAAAAGCCCTTAAACAATAAATGTTTAAAAGTTTTAAAACTAAACTTTTTATAAATTTCATTTTTACTCATTTTTTCATATTTCTAAAAGCAAAAATTTTATTTTCTCTCCAATAAAAATTTAAACTTATCACTCATAACAGTACTCAAAAAGCAAAAACTCTCATAAGTCACATCCAACAAGCTCTAAAATAGTCTACCTATAAGATTCCAACCAACTATTGCTAAGTATGGTTTATGTCACACAAATAAATATTAAAAATATACAAATTATGTTTAATTTTATTTATATTATTAGTTTAAATTTTTTAAAATAATTTATTAAGATATTTTAAAATATTAATTTATTAAATAATAAATATCATTTTTTCTATCAATTATCAACTAAATATTTATGTTTACTAACGTTTTTGTTAGTTATTAGTGTTTTTAAGGATGATGTTAGTAAAATTTGTGTACCCCCAACATTTGTATGTAGTATAGCAAGAACCATGCCCAACAATTCTATTTCAAAATTTTTTTTTCTTCTTTAACTTTCAATTTGATTTGATGGGATCTAAGTGGCTCTTTAAATTGCTTCATCGTTCAAAGATAATGTTAAATAATACAATATTTAGTTAATGCCAGGAATACTCCACTTAAAATGAGTAGAATACCCTTTAATTTCAAAATTTCTCCCTAATAGACAACTGAAAGGCCAAATGACTTCAAACTCATTAAAAAAAAAAAAGAAAGAAGCTTCTATGACTACTTTTACACAAATATCATCAGGACCAAACATCATTTCAAACAGTAACGCACAAAAAAATACAAATCAAAGATGCTAATTAATGAAATCATGCAAAGTCTCCTTTGACTGGTCGTGTCTCTCCCCCAGCAGTCACTGGTTACCGTCAAGTGGGGGAAATAAAGACTGGAAAAAGGGCGAAAGGAGGGAAACAAGGCTTAAACGCCCTCAAGCCCTCCAATTCTTTGCCTTTTAGAGCATTAGTACCTTTATATACACTTTATATATTTCAGTTCATAAACTTCATCTTATTGCCATATTTAATCTAAAATAGTTAGAATTTTATCATGTGAATCACAAAACTGTCTCTTCTCCGTTACCTTATCCTTGTTAGTTTCATGTTAGCATAAATATAATTTCATTTACACTCATAACGACATAAAAAATCTCATTCAAAACACACATGAACATTAACGAAGATAGTGTAACGAAATAGAGACCATCATATGATTCACTATTCCCAAGATGAAATTCTATTTATTTTAGATCAATTACAATAATAATATGAAATTTATAAATTAAAATATATAAAGTATATGTTAAAGTGCTAATGATCTAAAAAATAAATAGTTACAGTGCTACTAAGGGTTTTTTCTTTTCTTTTTTTCCCATTTTTTCTTTTTATCTCAAGACTATGTATGAACCCCACTCCCACTCTCTATCCAGAAACGTAGATAAGTCTTCAGACGATCATCTAATTATCTACTCCTACTGTCCCATCCTATGTATATTACGCCAATAACGTAATATACGCCGACTGCCTGCCTATATTATCACCACCATACACCCCGCCGTTTCTTCTGCTACAGATATTTTTTGGGTGCATAATAGATCTGGAGAGAGAGAGAAAGGGAAGGATTGTAATATTTTTTTTAATGGATAAAAGCTGTCACTCTGCAGATTCTTGCACCACCACCACCACCACCACCACTACTAGTGGCAGCAGTGGCGCAAATACAAACCCCACTACCACTACCACTACCAGGGATAACTACCTCAACCATCTGAACAAGCTTTCCCATAAGATCTCCAAACCAACCGCCGTTCCCTCAGTCAAGAAACCCACATTTGATTCGACCCATCTGGGTCAGACACTGGCCCAGAACCAGAATCAGCAGGTCTCAGTTCAGCCTCAGCCGTCAGTTCAGAGTCAGAGTAATTTGCCGGCACAGCAGCATCAGCCGCCGGTTTATAACATCAACAAGAATGATTTTCGAGATGTGGTGCAGAAGCTAACGGGTTCGCCGGCTCACGAGAGGGTATCTGCACCGCCGCCTCCGACGATTCAACCAACCAAACCCCAGAGCTCTCGGCTCCAGAGGTTCCGCCCTCCTCCTTTGGTGCACGTTAGCAATCGTCCGCCTCATCTGCTAAATTGCGCTCCCCCAATTGTAAACCCTAGCTCTCAGCCCAATCTTCCGATTCCTGCGCCGACTGCCCCCATAGGGAATTTCGTTCAACGGCCACCGGCGCCTCTATCGCCTCTCCCCCCGTTTCCTGCCGTTCATTTGGCGGCTGAATCCCCTGTTTCGGCTTATATGCGGTTCCTTCACAATTCAGTATCTACCGTTGACTCCAATCCGAACCAATTCTCTGGATTCATGCCGCTATCCCCGCTGGTCTCCCCACGTTGGAACAACTTGGCTGTTCCGCGACAGCCCCTTCAGCCCCCTCCGCCACAGCCACCGCAGCCACAGCAGAGTACATCATCAGGAACCATACAGTCACAGCTGCCGTCATCACCGCTGCCATTGGGGTACTTCTCTCCTCGTTCACCATACCCTTTGTTCTCCCCAAGCCTCCTGTTTTCTCCTAATTCGGGTCAGTTGGGGCTCCCTCTTTCTCCCACTGTACCAGTGCTAAGTCCAACACGGAAAGGACTCTGATTAAGTGTTTTTTAGGTAAGATTTTTCTAGAAAAGAAAGGATTAGTAGTCTTAGGTTTTCTGTACATGGTTAGAGATGGGGTTGTTAATTTCTATTCAATTACCAGTGGTTGGATGCTGAAAATGTCTACCCTGGTCAATTAGAGGTTCGTTTTGTTTCTTTGTTATGTAAAAATACAAACTTTACATTTGTGTTCCTTTTGGTCTTGTTGGCTACTGGGTGGAGAAAAAGAGTTAATCAGTTCTTGTTATTATATTAAGACTATGTATGGTATCAAATTACTACTTTGTTTGATTGCCTTTTCTGTGATTTTGTCTGCTAACTTTGCTTTGGCAATTCTACTAAGAAATAACATGACAATGTTGTGCTGAAGATCTGATGCATAAACTTTCCATAGATTGTAAGAAGCTGATATCAGTTTTTTCTAAATTGATCTGCTTGATTTCGTGGGTTGAAGGTTATTTATGATCTCAGCTGTCTATTGACACTGGATTCCATATCTTTATTAGCAAGATTTTGTCTTAGGGATTAGGTTAGGTGTTGAATTTGGAAGTAAGGAAATAGAATACCACTATTGAATATGCTAAGTAAATACCATTTTCGTATCTAGTCTGTGGATTTGACAAGAGGGAGTCCCCACTAATGTTGAATTTTACTTGCTTTTATATTAGATATAGAGGGAAAGATGTTACTGATTCGCTTTTGGAGTATTCGGGAAGCTTTCTTTATTATAGGGTAGGATTATGAGAGATGAGACTTTCGTATTTCATGAGGGATGCTTCCTTGTGATGAGCAACTTGCTGCATGTTATGAGGTAGTTATAACTACATGACTCTATTTACATCTGTTTTGACTTTTGAAGTCCAAAATAAGATGCATGAAATACTCCCTTTGCTTGCACTACTACTGTATTCTCCCTCCTTTTGACTAATATATATCTGTGTGTATGTGTTTTATACCATGATTAGGCATTCATGAATATTTGTCATTTCATTTGTGATGCGCCATAAACTTGACCACACTAACCTATTTCATTTAATTTGTGTACTTGTATCTATGCCAAAGCTTTCCCATGTGCTTACTTTTACGCTTTGTACTTGTTCCATCCTTTCTTTATATAACTATATGTTCTATCCTTGATTCTGATCTAGCCATAATAGAGAAATCTTTCTTTCCTTTTAATTTGAATTTTGAAGTGAAATTCTAAAGGAATTTTGATCTTTGATCATGTTTTGCCTATTTCTATTCTGGACATCCTCTGATCAACATTGAGCTGTGCTGCTGTGTTGTGGAACCAGGATGAATTTGTTATTATCATGGTCTTGTATTTGAAATATTTGGTTTTCCTTATATCTAAGTCTCAAAATACTTACTCAAGTTTGATAGGGTGCTTCCAACTTTTGAGTTTTGCTGCTTTCATATCAAACGCACATACCTGTCCACAACCAATACCAAACTGTGGTATGGACTTCAGGTTTGTGTGTCATGGAGGAAAGCTAGAATGTTTCGATTTTCAGTTGAGGAAACCATTGAGCGTTTGCACCTTGATTTTTGGAAAGTTCCGTGCCCTAAAGTAACAGATTAATTCAATTATTAGTTTATTAACTATCATCTTAATTTTTATTTTAGTTTAAAATGTTAGTTTTCATCCTAGATGATTTATAATCTCTGTAAAATATTTTAAATAGTTTAATGTATAAAATTTATGTTGGTTTTAATAAAAAGATAATAAGAAAGTTAAAAGAGTAGTTTTTAAGTTTTGAAAAAGTAATACTATGATACTAATAAAAAATGATTATTCAAGAAATACCAATAGAGAAAGATTAATTAGAATTTGTGATGAAATACAATGAATAATTCACAAAAATGAAACCTGACTAGAAAAAATAAAATCTTCAAAAATATAACCCTAACTAGTAAAGTGGACCATGTGAGGTTATATAAGTTGTTAAAGCATGGTAATAATTATAATTTATATTATAAATAAGAATTGTCAGAAAAAAAAATTTACAATCCAACAAAAATTTTAATAAAATCTACATACAAAACTTATCAAATCTCTCCCATACATTCCTCACCACTTTTCCTGTAAATTTTCCTAACAAAGTTTTTTTTTTTTTTTTTTGATAAGGACAATTATTAATAGATTAGTATTATTAGATGTTAGTAACTGAGGATTCAACTCCTAAATTTGGTGAGCAACCCATCACCTTCAACGAGACGCGCAGCCATCAACCCGCTTGGTAGAGTTCTTTCCTAGCAAAGTTAGATACGTTTCCAAACGTGCCAAGAAAGAAACTTCTAGCTAGTCTGGCCCAGCCCAAATATTCTGGACCAATACAGCGTACAATCCTTGAGCCAGCCCAGATCCCTAGTATTGCACCGCTAAATAGGTTGCAGCTTCCAAGGCTATCCCGACAGCAAAAACAACGTGGTTCAGACATTTTGACTTCCACTGTAAAACAGTAAAACTGTAGATCATAACCTAACCTCTCTTCCCTATCCCCACTCCCAACGTCTGGCTCTGCTTTTGGCCGTCCCTCTGGAACAATCGCCATTCGCCAGCCAGCCACCATCTGAGACCAAAACGCAAGATCGCGTCTTCCTTCCGGCAATGGCGGAAGCTCAAACCGACAAAACCTTGACCTTATCTGAGGTTCTCTTTTTCTCTTTCCACCATTGAATTTATGAATTTCCATTTCTTTTGAATGCTAATGATTTTCTTTTAATCCCACTTAAAATGAGGGAAGAAATTGATAAGATTGAATGTGTCCTCAGCTTGATCTGTGTTGACTGATTATATTTTTCCGCCGCCGTCTGTGGATTGTTATGGATCTTGATTTTTTTGTTTCGTGTTTCTGTAATGAGATTTTGAATAAAGCGATCTGCCTTTGTAATGCTTGAATTTATTAGTGAAATTAGATGTTTATGGCTTTACGTAGTAGCGTTGATTATATGGCTGATTGTAGCAGCTAGTTCTTGTTTTTCATTCTTCATTTCAAGGCAAATGGTGGCATGGGGTTTTGATTTGAAACTGATTATTGGATGTTTAATTATGTTGCGGTCTAATCGGATCTTATTAAATTTGAGTGGTTTTTAAGTCCAATTTTCTGATGCAAGTATAGTCTAATTATGCAATCTAACTTAGTTCTCTCTTTCTGTGCAAATGAAATTGTGGGATATGCTTTGTAAGAAGAATTAATAATTGGAAAGAAAAATACAAGTAAAGAAGAAAGATTTATCCTTTTACCAACATGCTTAGTAGGATATGAGGTAATAATGAAGATCAAGTGTGATGTGATATTTTGGTGTTTGTTGTGGCTTCAACCTACCATGCAATATAGCCCTGTGTTTATGTCTGATTGCTGATGGAAATCTACGTTGTAATTCAGCTTTCAAAAAGCACCACCACTTCTAGAGTTCCGATCCTACATTACATAGAAAGACTTGCCAGATCAGTATTTTGATTGTAAGATACTTTAGGCAGTCAATACTTATTCGGAATCCACAATGGAGAAAAACATAATCACAATTCATTGGAAATATCAAGCATGTTAAGTACTAAGTAAAGCCAGAAAGCCCTGACCAGATGACAATCAGATTCTATTAAGTCATGACCTGTTTGGGCCTTTTGGCCTGTGTCTTTCCGCATGCTTAAGAGTATGTTTCCTTCTGGATGGTTATATGTGCTAACAGTGCTGGGACTTGATGCTTTGACATTCAGCAATATCTGTTGGAGGAGGAGAAGACCAATGTTGCTACAAAACCTGTGGAAGTAAAAGAGGTTGAAAATTCTGTGACTTCTGCATCTGAGGAAGTTGTTTCTGAGAAAGTGGAGGAGACGCCACCTGCTGCTGTGGAAAGCACTGAAGCCCCCCCTGCTGTAGCTGCTGCCGAAGAAAGCACTGAAGCTCCTCCTGCTGCAGCTGCTGCCAAAGAAAGCACTGAGGCCAGTCCTCCTACTGAAAGCAGTGCTGAAGATGCTCCTGCTGCTGCCACTGAGGAAAGCAGTGAAACAGCGGAAGAGAATTCTGGTGATGCTGAAGAGACACCTGAGATAAAGGTTGA